CCCCTCACAAGCCACGCCACAGGTAAGTACCGGCCCTACCGGGCCTGCCCAGCATCCATGGCCCCGACGGGGTCACACACACACTCAAGCACTCAGTCAGGCACGCATTCATCACCCAGGCACGCCAACCACATACAGGCACGCACTCAGACCCAACACAACCCACTCAACAGGCAGGGGACTTAGTACGGCATGCATTCCACGAGCAAACTCAGAAATCAGCTGTCTGTTACAGTCCGTGTGATGACGGGTCATTACACACCACATTACCAGGCTTTCTCCCTACACAACCTATGACAGACTGGGGAACGGTCCCAGGTCCCTTATCATCCTACAACAGTTCACAATCCAAAGTAGGAAACAATTACGATTACAATTACAATTCCAAATACAGACCACAAATTCGACAGAACGTTCCTAACCCTCTAACTATGACATCAAACCTACGTGTGTCCCAGATTTCTCCAAGACTCTCCTGTTCCATTCCCCTCCCAACATTTCGGCCAACAACTTCCACAAAGGGCTCTTGTCTCTCGCGAAGTTTCTCAGGGCCCTCCCAAAAAAATGGTCCGGGTAGTTCCTCCTCCTCAGCTCCAGCTTCAACAGCAAGAGTACCTCGATCAACCCCATGCTTGTCATCGAGGTCTGGTAGATTCTGTGCAACTCGCTCATTACAACAGCCATCTTCGATTTCTTACTCACCCACGACTCAAAATCTTGAAACGCCCTGAAAATCAGCTCTTCGCCCTCGAGCAGTTCCTTCACATTTTTCATAGCTAGACAACAACCGAGGAAAGGGAATTCCTTCCTGACTCTCAAACGACATCCCAGGAAGTCCCAGGAGTCCTTCCCATCGTCAGTTCTCTTCAGGGTCAGGGCTCTGTCATAGCACACTTCAAAGGTCTCAAGGATCTCCTCTGCTTTCCTCCTCGATTCCGGTCGTCGGGGATCAAAGGCTACGAACACCGATGCATCATCCACATAACGGAGCCCCACCACAAGACGTCTGTCATTACCTAGCGCCACCAAAAAATCCCATTCCGCTTTTGCGCACAAAATGCAGGCTAGTGGCGGGCTGGTCGATTTTCCCATGGGAATACCAATTACCTGCTGCAGGATTACCCTCCCTGCCACTGTGAAGCACCCTCTCAATTCGAAAAGAACAAATGCCCGAATCATCCCAAAACTTATGAACTGGAAGCCATCCACATTCTTCCCCTTGCTAAACATCGTCCCTTTACCCCTCTTCCTAACAAAAACACCTTGTAGGCCTTTCGACTCAAACCACCAAATGCACCAATCCACAGCACACACAATCGTCGCATGGGGGAGTCTACTGAACATATCTTTGATATCGTAGGAGCCGCTCAAAACCTGCACATTCCTATAAGCACGACGCATACTCTGGTTAATCCCAATAAGGCGGTCACGCAACTCAGACACGGATTTCAAATTAAAATGTTTGCTTTCCGGAACCGAGAACAACATGCCATTCAACACACGAGCCACCTTCTTGCAAGCCCTCTTACTAGGTTTGCTGAAGGTTGGACAGATCGGCCGGTACTTCGCTGTGTCTTTGTGTTTAGGAAGAATATAAGCTCTGCCCAATTTCCCATCTTTCTTCCATTGTGCAATCTGCTCAAATTTTCCTTTCCCATAGTCATCGTGCAATAGATTGATAATCTCGTCCTCAAATTCCTCTTGAATTACGTAGCCATTATTAGCTGTCAAGGTCGTCTACATCCCTTCAGCATACGTAGCCGGGCACATGACCAGAGTGTCCCCAGGATTGCGATCCAAAGGACAACACACAAGCCCATTCAGGTTTTCACGCACTCGTTGAACTGCGTCTGCATCATCACAATTGTCTGTCCTACCCTTTGACACACGCAACTCAATCTCCTCCTGCGCAAATTCCATCTGTCCCACTCCCTTCCCTAACCAACTCAGGTCAGCAAAGTTATCAGCCTGTTCCTTGGACAGTCCCGCTACCAATCCGTCTTTCGCATTCCGCAGTATATTCTTAGCGTTACGGGCTATCATCGGACAGCCATCCCAATCGCCGATACGGAAATGGACATGCCCTCCCTCTTTTGGGAAGGGCATGCTAGTGCAGGTGCACTCAAAGACTCCATCAGCCGCAAAACGACGGTGATTATGGATTAAGTCGCCCACGTTCGGACTTCTCGTCCAAACAACACGGGCACGTTTACGCACCATTCCCACAATCGCGTTATTGAGGGGCAGTCTTCCAATCCCCCGCCGCGACAAGTTCACTACCTCGCTTTTCTTGATCCTATCATCAAACTCGACCTTCATGACTACCCTCTTTCGAACGTTCAGCCCAAAGCTCCTCCTGAACATGTCAGAAATCACCCGTCTCCCTCTTGATCTTCTCCTCTTTTCAGAAAACAGTTTCGCCGCCTCGTAGTAGCTGACTAGTTCTTCTTGCGTCTTGCTGTATAACAGTCGTATCTTCCACCTATCCTTGAAAATACTCACGAGTTCCTACTTGAGCTTCAAGGTTTTTGGTGTTGCTTCCACCACATCTCGAAGAGTGATTCATCCTTCCACCTCGAACAGCTTCTTGCACTTCCGCAGCGGCCTAGTGCGCTTTCCCACTGCCACTCGTGATTCCCCAAAGGTTCGCCGCACAACTCGCCAATTGTCTGCCTAGCTCCGCCCACCATCCGACCAGATATGTGTCTTTACTCCACGCGGGACCTTTGCTAGGCTCCGTAGTAATTCGATCACCCTTACTGTTCTCTCCCCTCCTTCCCTTCTCAATGCTATTATCGTATTATCTCCACTCACTTTCCTCTCTGTTCTTTCCTCCCCACTCCCTCTTACCTTCTTCTCGACAACCTTCCGTCGCTCTTTCCTTCCCGATCTCCTCCGCTTCCTTGATCTTCGCTTTACCCCCGTAGAGTTAAGGGATGGTGACCACACTCAAACCAACGTTCTTTCAACCGCCTCCAACTCCCTTCTATCTATACTTAAGAATACAGGCACCGCTACGTACATATGTACCCCCACCTTGCCTAGCCAGCTATACAGTTTCCTCGAACGCTTCTTATCACCCTGCTTCACACACCTCAAGTGCTCGGTCCATCTTTTCGTCAGACTCCTTTCCGTCATGCCCACGTAAACCTGCTTATACCACGGGGATATTACTACGTACACGCAACTTCGCGGAGATTGAAGGTCTAGTCTTCCAAAACGGGCTTCCTGCCTCCACAGTTCCAAAAATTTCTCCCCCCATCGCAACTCCCCAGTCAAGATTAATCCCAAAACCAACGCCCTCATCCGACTCTCTGCATTACCCTTGCATCCATTTGCCTCTCGCAGCTTCGTCTGTTCATCAATATCCCGCCAGAGATCATCAGGTCTGCTTCCTCATTCCAAAGCTCCTTCGTCCTCGTGACCCTCACCTTCCTTGTCCTTACACGTCCTTGCCGATCTGCTTGGGAGCGGTGTTGTTGGCAGTGGTACGTTGAACGGATCATACGCCTTGATAACGCGACGCGTCACCAGATGATTAATCGCCAGTTCCCGTTTCCCATAGGTTATCCGCTCGTTCTTCCAAACCTCTTTAAGCTCTTCGATGGTCAAGGCTTCATACAGAGCATGAACTTCTTCTTCATATTTTTCCCACGCGCCAGGACCAACCCCTGCAGTCACATGTTTGATCGACAAGTCGATCTTTCCAACCGGATCTGCAACCGGTGACAACGTACTTGCAACGTGACCCGTCTCCCGCAACTCCTCCATTCTCAGTTTAGAAGTTGTTCCCAAGCCAGTTCGTTTTGTCGGAGAAGTCATCGGCGGGCTATCGCCAACTGCTACTTCCTTCCCCCTTTTACGCTTCTCGTTGATGTCAAGTCCTGCAGCTCGGCGTCGCAGCGCAATCAATTCAGCGTCCTCATCGCTCTCCTCCTGTAATGCTATCATACGCCTTAGCCGCTCCTTCTCCTCTTCCACCGTCTCACCTTTTTCATTTCGGTTACTCGCCTTACGACTTGCTCGATAGGTACGTCCACTCTCTCTCTCACTCTCATGATGGATCTCGCTCCGTATAAGCCTTAGTAGGCGCACATCTCTCTCGTCCTCCGCACACTTTCTTTCTTCCAACTCCTGCATCCTCTTCCTCTCTTCCTCCTTCCTTGCCTCTTCTTCCTTACGTTGCGCCTCCTCCCTCGCCAATCTTTGTTTAGTCTTCTCTCGTTCCTTCGCTATCTCGAAGAAATAAGCCCTCATCATACTATTCACTTCTTCGGTTTCGAGTCTTCATCCATAATTGTCCGCCGAATGGCTCCGTCGCTCAACACTTGGAGCCATGGTGCGGCCACTACACGCGTACGGCGGTGGAGGCAGGACAAAGGGAATGCCCTTGTCCCGAGCATCCCAATAGTCATCACAGACGTTCGCAAAGTGGTCAGGCTTCCCGCATCGAAAGCATGTCCGCCCCGCCATCCTATTATCGCCACCTCGTGGTGGAGGTCTTCCTCCTCCACCTTCTGTCGACCCTTCTGATCTACCCGATGCATTGGGTCCACTCTCGGCACTCTCCCTGCTCATCTTCCCTGTCACACCTGCCAGTGCCAGTGGCAGGATCAAAACACTCAGGCCAATCCTCCAACTCACCCTCAAACTTCGACCGTTCTTTTTTCCTCTCTCCCTCTCTCTCCCTCTCTCTCTCCCTCTCTCTCTCCCTCTCTCTCTCCCTCTCTCTCTCCCTCTCTCTCTCCTTTCCTGCAGTAACTTCGTCGCCACCCCCTCCATGTATGATTTCCTAGCAGGTTACGACGCCAATAGCTAGAAGCAGGACGTAGCACACGACACTCGAACACGACATGCACACGCACGACCTGCACAGTGATCGAGTAGCCCGGCTCATAAACTGCCGTAAAATTAGCGCGAACGCGCAAAACGCCACCAACAACGAGCCACAACACCCAGGAAACCATCGATCATGCCGTCAACCTGATGAGTCACGCAAAGCGCTGCTGACTCCTTTTTTGGTGCGGGTCACCAAAGAGGAGTCAAACCGACCATTCGCCAGTTAATATTATGAAACAAAATAGGCGATCCCAAGCCTGGCCCTAAGGAGCAGGTGAGGGACCCAATCCTATTATCAACACGAGAACAGACCAACACGAACGGTATATAAGGTCCGGTAAGCCTTCTTCGGATCCTACTTGAATTACAGTATCAGTAAAACAGCCTAAGACAAAACAAAACAAGACAAGAGGCACACCACATTACCAGGCTTTCTCCCTACACAATGTATGACAGACTAGGTTACATCATAAAGAACTCACAAAAAAAAAAAACAAAAAAAAACGTTATTTTAAGGCCCCAAAATTGTTTTTGGCGGGGGCCGAACCTGGAGGTGTTCGGCCCCCGAACSGGACCCCGAACGCCCGAACGTTCGGGGGCCAGCCCGGGGGCCCCCGAACGTTCGGTCAGGTAACCATGTATATATGTATATATGTATATATGTATATATGTATATATGTATACATTATATATATCCACATATACATAGATATATAGATATATATAGATATATATAGATATATACAAGGTAACCAGCGCTTGGGACGGACCGAACTCCCGAACCTGAATGCCCGAACGTACGGGACCCTTGGGGATGCGTTCGGCCGTTCGGGCAGAACACAGACCAATAAAAAAAACAAACCAAAAAAAAATTGAGAAAAACATATGTTATGAAAAAAAATAAAATAAACAACATTTGCCTGAGCATTACATCGAAATTCCTTACCAAATTTGAAATAAAAATAAAATACATAAAATAAAACTTATCAAAAATTATAAAAATAAAAAAAAATGAAAAGATATTAAAATTCGTGAGTGAGAGAGCACGCTTTTGACACCGCCATCTTTGGCGATTTTCATTTTTTGTTTGGCACAGCCAAATGCCCTGAAAATTTACAGATGTGTACTTCACATAATACAAAACTGATTCCAAAAGTTTCAAAAAATAATAAAATTGTTTAGGCCCTGCAATGAAGTGAAAACAAAAAGTACAGACATGAATACGTATTCGTGATTGACTTGAAGACGCAGACACGACACGAGGACGTGAACACGACGCAAGTAAACCTGAGAATGATTAAAATTCGCATTAAGCTCACCACCTGACCCGACTACCCCAAGATCCACCAATGCGATCATCGAGACCGTTTAACGCTAATGGCAAAACCATTAGAGAAAGAAAGAGGATTAGTGCTACTCAATCATTTGATTTATGTCATCGGTAACCTGGTATTTTTTCTCCCCAGGTGGGGCTTTGAGCCAATACAAATCCACATCAGTCGGCTCTGGGCTCAAGGACCGGTACCGGGCCAAAACCACACCACTCAAAACCTAAGTCCCAGGCCCGCTGAAAATGACAAAGCCCAAAAAAGTGGAGAAACGGCCGGGTTCAAACCCACATCCTTCCCCATCTCACGCTTACTCTACTAAAGACCTCAAAAAAATCCAGAAGTCACTAGTTCGAACCCTTGCATTCTCAAAACAACAAACTATTCCTATGCTCCGAAGACCGAATAAACCTCGTCTCATCTCACGCTTACTCTACTATAGACCACAAAAAAGAAATTCAGAAGTCACTAGTTCAAACCCTTGCATTCATAAAACAAAAAAAAAAACATTCCTATTACTTCGAAGACCGAAAAAACTCTGTCCCGGTGCTGCTTTGAACAGCCAACCAATCTTCAAAGGGAGAAAACAAAACCCTTCCCTCTCCTGTTGCAGCAAATCAACCTGCTGTAATCAAATTGCAGGTCCATGGCCACGGTTCGTCTCTTCCGTGGGAAAAACTCTTCAGGATCCGGTCGAAGAATTTTGTCGGGAAATCCTTCAAGCGCATCTCTCTTTTCAATGTGACGACTCTTCGTGGTATTTCAGAGCGGATCGTTGTGTTTCTATCAATACGATGCAAGTAATTACTTATCACAACGTTTTTTTGGTCTTTACTTCCCCATGAGTTGAAAGACTGTCCGTTTTGAAATTCAAGCAACTCGGAATTTCAAATAGTGACCTCATTCTTCGACGACTGTACGCATTCAACGTACGGGTATTGACCGTTTACTCGAACTTCACAACCCAAGAAATCCCACTCGTTCCCACCATTATCTGTCCGTTTTAAGATCAGATTGGAGGGATACGTGTGTTCAAATCCATCGAAGATCTCCTTTCGCTTCGTATTCGCATTCCCAAACACGAGCACTGTCACATCACCAATCAATCGGATCCCGTAAACATTCCTACGTCTTCCTCCCAATTGTTGCAGGAAATCGAACTCTGCCTTTGCGCACATGATGCAGGCAAGGGGTGGGCTTGTGCTTTTTCCCATTGGGATGCCCACCTCTTGCTTTACCGAGGTGTTCAAAGCGAAAGTGTACGTATGTGAGAGTTCAAATTCAACGAAGCGAAAAATGTTATCAAACTCCAACTTCCTCCGATGGTCATATCCCGTGGTCTGGCCAAAGGTTGCCCCACGCCCTCGGGTATTTACCCGTACAAACTTTCTCCCCTTCCCCGCATGATACTCCAACAACCATTTGACTGCGTGCACGATCTCCTCGTGTGGCAACAGACTAAGCATGTCTTTAACATTATACGATCTAGATTCGACCGTCTTCGGGGCAACTCTACAAATACGACGGTTACCTTCCTTGATTTTCCTGGTCAACTGTGAGACGTCTTTCAGGCTAAAGTGTCAGTCAACGGGGATTGTGCAAAGTAGGTGATTAAGTGTTTTCGCCACTGACTTACTGGTTTTTGCAGTGGGTTCCGGAAGGATGGGCAAATCGGTCGAAAACGATTTGGATCCTTGTGCTTGGGTATGGCGTACGCATGCCCAAAAATGCCCTTCTTATTCCATCTTGCGAACTCGGTCAACTTACTGCTACCTAGGTTCTTCTTCATTTCTAGTAAAATATCATTGGCGCGACTGTCAACAACATAGTAACCCTCGCTCCTAATGAACAAATTCATCATACCCTCATAATAGATTCGTGGGCACATTACCATTGTTACGCCCGGATTACGATACAATGGAGTTAGTACCGGACCTTCCAGTTTCTTCCCCCATTCGTGTACCACTTCCTGCCCCAAACATTTACTGGGTTCCCGTCGATCCTGTATGTATGTAGATAGCTCCCTCATTGACCATCTCACCTTCTGGCTCTTGCTATTCGACCAATTTTCAAATGCAACTTCCACTTCCTGTTTCAAAGTAATTAACATGTCATTCCGATGATTCCGTGTTGATTTCGGAACATTTTTTGCATTATACAGCAAAGCAGGCACTCCTTCAATCTCGTGTAGACGAAACTGCACGTGACCTATTACCCGGGGGTAAGGTAAACCTACACAGGTGCAGGCAAACACATCAGCGCGGGCAAACCTGCGCTGATTGTGCAATATCTCCGCAACACTCAGATTTTTTGTCCAGATGATGCGGATCTTCGATCGTGCTCGTTTCTTAACACAAGGCGGGTGACACAAACCGCCTAGTTTGTCATTCACCAACTTCCGAACCTCAACCAACTTTACCCAGTCGTCAAACAGCAAGCGCACGACGAGATGTGCCGATAGATTAAACCCAAATCTATAGCGTATACAACGAGAAATCAGACGCCTTAGGTACGTTCTTGTAGACTTACGTTCAAACTCTTTAACGGATGAAAGTAATCCAGAAAGAGAATGTAAGTCCCATTTTTTTAAGGACTCATATCTCTTAGGATTTTTTAGCAAGAAGATTAAAAAAGATTTGTTAATTCCTGTCCTTGGTTTCCATCGTCTTAAGTACGTTTAACTTATCTTCAAGATACATCCTAGCTCATAGTCGGCCTTAAAATCTTTGAAACAGCCCGACTTCCCGTTGACTAATACTGATGAAGACCCAAAGGTTTTCAGCAGAGCACGCCATCGATCACTCCAACAATTATCCCCACTAAACTCGAGCCTAAGATCCTGACGACCATCAGCATCCTGTCGTTTCAACAGGTCAAACACCTGTACTGTCCAAGTGCTCTCATTCAATAGCTTATAGCGTATAGGTCGAAAACTTCGCGGTTCCGTTAATTTTGGTGCCTCGTCACCTCGTGCCCTCTCTTTCTTATCCTTTCTCCTGTTTCTTGTCCTTGTATTAACCTCACACCCAGCAGTGTTTAACTGTGGACACCATCTCTTTATATACAACGTTTCAGTGGTTAGGAGGTCAGCATCCTCACACACATCTATCGGTATTTACGCGTAAGTTTCGATCCCAAATCTTTGCC